CATGAAATCGTACACCCTCACAACATGGGATATCAATTTTCATCCTGCGATATCCTTTATACATCCCGTGAACATCCCCGGGAGATCCGAGGGATATCTCATGGATATCCCATGCAGGATATCTCCCGCGGGATTTATTTATCGCGCATGTGCAGGTCACAAACATATGATTGCGTTCTAAGATGTCGGACTAAGGCCTAGAGTAGGATAAGGCGTCCTTTATTTCAAATGTTTTTGGTGTTTAATCAAGTAATTTCTTGTGTTTTTGTTGAATTCATAATAAGTTTAGTGTATATTGAATAAAATTTTTCAAAAGTTTAAATGTTTTTCATAGTATCAAATGTATACGTAAAGTGACGCAATAGTGTTTACGTATATATTTTTAGTCATGATTTTTAAATAGCAAGTTTATTTCCGTGAAAAATTAATAAATAAAATCAACGTTGTTTTGTGTATTGTTATAGTTTTCAAACAGTTATTTTATATATGCTGACCACCAAGTTTTTTATAAACAATCAGCAAGTTTCAGGTTATGTTGTAAGATGTTTAGTTCTCTCATAAAAATCGTACTGTTGTTAATTTATAAATTAAAAAATCATATTAAAATAATTTTTAGAACAAATATATTTTTGGGAATAGTTATTCTTTTAATACAGAAATTATTGTCGCTTTTTTCTTACTGTAATTAGTATTCCATTCTAAAGCATATCCCGCGCGGGAATCCCATGGAATGAAACTTGGATATCCCAGAGATATCTCTGAGATATCCCAGAAGTCCCTGGGATATCCCATCATCCAGCGGGAATATCCTTTTGTTGAGAAGGCATGATCACGGAAAAAAATTTATACATTCAAGATCATTTACTAGTTCCCATACGTGTTCGTGTACGAGTTCCTTTATAAAAAAAATTTGTTTTCATAAAATTTATAAAATTGTGAACCTATATAAATAATGATATCGCATTGTCCTTGCACTGTATAAATCAACTGTGCAGTCTTAAATGCTTGAGAGAACTACTGCGCAGCCCTTAAAGTTTAAAAAAATTTTTTTTTAGGTGAAGAAAAACTGGTACAAGAAAATATAAGAGAACATGTACAAGTTCCACAATAGAAAAATTTTGTTTTAAATGAAGGAAAACTGGTACAAGAAAATGTGCGTGTGCATGTAGAAGTTCCACAACAGATAAATTTTTCATACAATGATCATGTACGAGTTCATGTAAATTGAAACTGTTCCATTTTCCGCAACCTGGTCATGCACATGATCTTGTATATGTTCAAGTACATGATCATGTGCATGAAATTATACATGATCATGTATGTGATCTTGTACAGGAATTTTCAACTTTGTTGTATTCGATCAGTTTGATAAAATTTAATTGTTATAAAGAAAAAGTCATAATTTTTCAAATACATTATGAGTATTATTAGCTATAGTATTATGAGATATCTTTATGACTGTTTTATTAAATATTTAATTATAATCAATTATATAAGGACTTATCGACTACTGGATATTTTGGTGTACATGTATTTATTGCTCTTATTGATGTCATTGCTAATCTAATACTTGATCCAAAGCACTTGTTTTTAAAATATGTTTTAAAAAGTAAGTAGTTCAATTTAAATTTACTTGCAAATTGTGAATTCAAGGTCAGAACGTCATCTACATATTAAAAAAATAAAATGTTAAAAATAACTATTTATTTAAGAGTTATTATTTTCTTACAAATAGTACGAAAAAAAGTAATAGACTACACGATGTTTTACCTTATTTTTTGAATTTTTGAACCTTTAAAATTCTTGATTTTAAATTATTCGTTTAAAATAAGTGTAATATTTGGTAAAACTTGTGTCATTCATCCTTCTATATTTTTGACGCTGTAAACGACGTTATTTGCAATTGAATGTCAAAGTTACAAAAAATATGAACTATAATTTATAAATAACGACATTCTCATTTAATTTTTAATCCAAAGAAAGTTTTTTTAGAAAAAAATGTTATTTAATGACAGTTACAATTTTTGTTTTCACAGGTTGGAAATTTAAATTTAAATGAAATGCTTTTAGAAGACTCTGATTTGGAAGAACAGGCAAATGAAGGAAGTACATCGGATCAAAAGCAATTTCAAGACTTGTACGAAGTGCTGAATGATAAAAAAAAGTTTGAAATAATTGACGAACCTATTAAGATTAGTACAGCTGAATTGTTACTGATGTTAATTAAGTTTGCTCTGCTAAGTGCGCTAAGTTTAAGTTCCGTTTCCAGTCTCTTTTTATTAATAAATAGTATATTTACTACTCCAGTAATACCAAAATCAAAATATATCATCGAAAAATTGTTTAATCCTAAAAACTCGACAACATTTCATGGTCTCTGTCCGCAATGTGGTATTAGTATAGGCTATTTCAGTCGTTCAAATTCTAATTTACATTGCAATTTATGCAATATTGATGTTAATACCAAAGATTCTGCATACAAAGATTTTTGTGTAACATTTGATCCAAGTTCTCAAATAATTGAATTACTTAACACGCATATCGAGTATTATGATCAGCTAAAGCATGATAAAAAAATTGGGAATCTTATTCGCGATATTTACGACGGAAAATGTTATCGAGAATTTCTAAAACATTTATCCCCAAAAGATCGACACAATTACATTACAGCCGTGTTCAACACAGATGGCGCTCCTCTATTCGAGAGCTCATCCTATTCAATTTGGCCGATTTATATTATGTTAAACGAATTGCCTTTTTCTGTCCGTGGTTCACAATTATTTCTAGCAGGTTTATGGTTTGGAAAAAGTAAACCTGACATGAGTGTTTTCTTACAAACTTTTGTAGATGATATGGTAACTATCCAATTCTCCGATTTTTTTTCTCCGAAAACAAAAGGGAGTCGGATTTTAGTGCTGTGAACATAAAGGTGATGAGAAGTGAACACGCAACGAGGAAAATGTGTTGTTTGTAAAATAAATCCAGTAGATGTCAGGAGAATGAACTTTTGGGGTTATTTCAGAATTAAAGTTCCTCCTTGACTTACGTAGTTTGAAAATAAAACTTATGTAGGTTAAATAAATTAATAACAACAGAAACAATATTAACGAGTACAATTATAATTTTATTTAAATATCCAAAATAAATTCAAGTAATTATTATTTTAGAAATAAAATAAATTCTATCTCTTTATTTAATTTGAACAATTATATGTTTTTTATCACAATTAATCTTTTATTATTGCGAATTAAATTTCTTAACCTATAAAGTAAACATTTTTGTCTTTCATTATAACGATTATATTATTATAAAGAAATTATAATAATAATATATAAAAATTAATGTTTTTTTTTAAACTTAAAAATGTATAAATAAATTTTAATTTCAATAGTTTCCTCTAAAATATTTACGAAAATATTTTGGAGGCAATGAATAAGTTTTAAACTGAAAAATGTATAAATAAATTTTAATTTCAATTTTTTCCTCCAAAATATTTTCGAAAATAATTTGGAGGAAGTGAATAATTTTTAAACTGAGAAATATATAAATAAATTTTAATTTCAATTTTTTCCTCCAAAATATTTTCGAAAATATTTTGGAGGAGGTGAATAATTTTTAAACTTTAAAATATATAAATAAATTTTAATTTCAATTTTTTCCTCCAAAATATTTTCGAAAATATTTTGGAGGAAGTGAATAATTTTTAAACTTAAAAATATATAAATAGATTGTAATTTCAAAATTTTCCTCCAAAATATTTCCGAAAATAATTTGGAGGCAATGAATAAGTTTTAAACTGAAGAATATATAAATAGATTGTAATTTTAAAATTTTCCTCCAAAATATTTGCGAAAACAGTTATTTACAAAATTTATATTTTCCAGGAAAGCGATCGAAGAGTTGTTCAACGAATGTGTCGAATGACTTTTTAAGAAAATAAATTTTTTTAACACATTTTTTTGTAATTATCTCCTTCATTTGACTTTGTTGAAACATAAAATTGCAAAAAAAAATTTTCTTATTACATCAACAGAAGGATCGCAAAGCTTTAGTTTGAAAACTCTTTTGAGTCAATTGTTGAAGAGAATTCTCTCTATATCCCTACCTTACAAAATCATTGGCAATCTTCTACGTGAAGATCAAGGGCTAACTTGAATGTATATTTGGTTAGATGGATGGATGGATTGATGGATGAATGGATGGATGGATGGTTGAATGTATATTTGGTTAGATGGATGGATGGATTGATGGATGAATGGATGGATGAATGGATGGATGGATGGATGGATGGATGGATGGAGGGATGGATGGGTGGATGGATGGATATATGTGAATGGGTTACCAGAGAGAATATCAGCGACGGTTTGAAAGCGATGATCCTGCTCTGCTTCCTCTTGTACATAAAAGTGCACCGTGCTCATATGTTCTTCGAGCTCTGACGATGATTTCAGCATCTTGTCACAAATGTAACAGCTGCTGCTTTGCTCAGGACATTCTGTTGAAGATAATACATTAAAATGGATGGATGGATGGATGGTTGAATGTATATTTGGTTAGATGGATGGATGGATTGATGGATGAATGGATGGATGGATGGATGGATGGATGGATGGATGGACGGATGGATGGATGGAGGGATGGATGGGTGGATGGATATATGTGAATGGGTTACCAGAGAGAATATCAGCGACGGTTTGAAAGCGATGTTCCTGCTCTGCTTCCTCTTGTACATAAAAGTGCACCGTGCTCATATGTTCTTCGAGCTCTGACGATGATTTCAGCATCTTGTCACAAATGTAACAGCTGCTGCTTTGCTCAGGACATTCTGTTGAAGATAATACATTAAAATGGATGGATGGATGGATGGTTGAATGTATATTTGGTTAGATGGATGGATGGATGGATGGATGGATGGTTGAATGTATATTTGGTTAGATGGATTGATGGATGGATGGATGGATAGATGGATGGATGGATGGATGGAATACACTATTTCATCTTTAAACCTTGCTGCTGTGGAATCGGCAACCTTGAGTGTTCAGGTTCAGCACCTCCCGCACTGCGTTGCGTTCGGCTGGTTCAAAATCCGTTACAACGGTTTGCAAATGTTCGAACAGTTGTAAACCGTTGTTTTTCATGGTCTCAAACACAACGTCGTATTGCACACCAGCTTTTCGTGACATGACCGAGTACATGATGGGGACAACCTAAATAATGTGTTAAAAACATACAGTTTTAAAATTATGAAGAATACATAAGGGTAATTGGAAAAGAAAAAAGAAGCTTCTATTCAAAAGTTATAAAATTTCTTTCCTACTTCTATTTACCCGCGTGTAACCTTTCCCCTCTACTACATTGAAGAAACTTATTAAAACAGTTATGAACGTTTACCTTACTCTTAATTTCCACCAGCAATGTCAAAACCTGATACGCCCCCACAATCTGTGGCACCGTTTGATACGTGGCATCAGTAAATGCATACGTCGCCAACAATAACTCTGGTATGAAATCATTCGGAATGAGGACCACCGCTATGTCTTTCGAAGCATCCTCTACTTCAAAGACATTGAATTTAAAAGACTTGTCAATTTTCGAGTCCATCTCATCTCCGTCAACTTTTAAATTAAACGTCATGCGTTTCTGCCACGACTCGCCGTTTAAATAGAATGCAAATAAGCCAAAATCGTTCTTAATTGGCTCATAGTCCTGGCTGCTATGTCGCCGCATAGTGCTTTGTTTATTCACGAACGATGTATTCGCCAATGCCTCAGGATGGCTATGTAAAAAAATAAGAATGAAAAATCCGTACATACATACATACATACATACATATACCATGTATCCACTTACCCTGTTCGCAAGTTTCGAAATAATTCACTATGATTTCCGACAGCGGAATGCGATCTAGTGCACAAATCATCAGTCATGAGGCCTTCCGAATATTTTTCTTTACAGTCATTGTTGTGGGGCTTATTTAGGACAAGATCAAATGGTTCCTCCAAGGTCCCTTTCCCAAAAAGTCGTGCAGTTCCGTTGCAGTTAATTGACGTTTTTGTCTCTGAACATTGCATGTACCTAAATTGTTTTAATTTTTTAAAATACTGAGAGAAATTGATGGTTAGATTTTTTTGTGTGGTTGGATCCATCCATCCATCCATCTAACCAAATATACATTCAACCATCTATCCATCCATTCATCCATCCATCCATCCATCCAGCCAACCATCCATCCATCCATCCATCCATCCATTCATCCATCCATTCCATTTTTCCACACAAAAATTCTTGTTTAATTTAAAAAAAGGTGTTTGTTTATTTTGTGTACGAAAAGTTATTGTGCGAGATTATAAGTAATGTAAAAAATCTTATGTGAATTTTACATCGACGGACGAGGGAAATAAAAGGACCCTCGACACTCGATGTAAAATTACAACTAGAAGCGATGAAAAGTAACTTCGACGCTCGATGAACATTTACTGAAGCAAAAAATTACATCGAGCGTCAAAGTTAATTTTCATCGCTTATAGTTGTAATTTTACATCGAGCGTTGATGGTACTTTTATTTCCTTCGTCCGTCAATGTAAAATTCACCTAAGATTTTTTACAGTGTACAGTATAACTCGCACTTTTTCAATTTTTTTTATATTTAATGTAGATGAAAAGTTATCTTAAATCCGGGCTCATTTTTGAGGGTAGAGAATATTTAAAAAATATATATACATAGCCAACCATCTAGGCTTATATTATTGGACACAAAGGAAGCAGAGTTTTCAAGGAAAGCGATTCCCATTGCTTACTCTAAATTTATTTCTGGCATCGCTGATGGAAAACCATTAGGAAATTGTTTTTTCCAATATTGAAATTAAATTTTTTTTTAAATTTTTACAGTTTTAACCAAAAAAGATTAACTTTATACTTCGATTTTATTTTTTCGAGTTATTTCTGATAATATAATGACAACGCTAATTGAAACTAATTTATAAATAATATTTTTTACCAAAACAATAATTTCCAAAAAAATTTGTCGGTTTTGTGTACATAATCCAACATTTTTTGTGCGAGTTTTAATCAATTTTTTATGTACAATTTTATGTGTATGCGAGAAATATAATTTTATTGCCACTCATTACTTACTGAAAAAATTGCTGTCTTTCTTCATCATAATTAAATTTACTGGTCTTGTGATACCGCCAAGTTAAATCGTAGCACCTGTTTGATCCTTTGTATGGAGAAATCGGTTTATCGCGAACGTAATGTTTGACAGGGATAATCCTTTTTTCTGGTGGTTTTTTCTTTTGAGTATTTCTTTTTGCCATCCACATTTTGATCGAATTTAATTAACAAATTGACACAACAGCATGAAATATACTGATATACTAAATTGACATTTCTATTATTTTTACGCTTGTCAATTGTTTATTGTTGGAATAGAGAAACGTAAAAATATTTGAAATGGCAATTATTTCATGTAATATACTTTATACCGTTGTGTAAATTTTTAGAGAAATTTTTTTTTAAAAAAGCGAAACACCAATGTATCTTTACAAACAATTCCGGGAGAAACCGGGAAATATCCGTGAAATGAAAAAAAGGGGAAAACCGGTAACATATAAGACATATTTTTAAAGTTTTTAAAAATTTTTAAAGTATATTTATCATGATTATTATTAAATTATTAATTATTGATTAAAATTAAAGGCAGTAGCTGCTTCATAATTTATGTAATGAGATTAATAATAATTAAAAAGTAACAAAAAAATAATAATTAGAAATAATCCATCTTCATCTCAATAAATCAAAATTTTTTGTGTTATTCACTCCAAAATATTTCTGGAAAATAATTTGAAGGCAGCCATAATTTTACAGTTAAAAAATTTTTTTTTTAACTCTGCTACTATTAACGAGTATAAAATGATATTTCCTTACTATTGATAAGTGAATAATATTTAGACCCAAGTATATGTAAATATATTTTATATAAATATATTTTATATATATATATAAATATATTTTAATTTCAGTATTTTCCTCCAAAATATTTTCGAAAATAATTTGGAGGCGGAGAATAATTTTTAGACTCAAAAATATACAAATAAAATTTTATTTCACGATTTTATGACAAAATATTTCTGAAAAAAATTTGGAGGCGGAGAAGAATTTTTAGACTCAAAAACATATAAAAAACTTTTAATTTCAGGATTTTCCTCCAAAATATTTTCGAAAATAATTTGGAGGCGAATAATAATTTTTTTCCTCCAAAATATTTTCGAAAATAATTTGGAGGCAGATAATAATTTTTATACTTAAAAATATATAAATAAACTTTAATTTCAGGATTTTCCTCCAAAATATTTTCGGAAATAATTTGGAGGCAGAAAATAATTTTTAGACTAAAAACATAAGAATAACTTTTAATTTCAGTATTTTCCTCCAAAATATTTCCGGAAATAATTTGGAGGCAGAGAAGAATTTTTAGAACCAAAAATATGTAGATAAAATTTTATTTCAGGATTTTCCTCCAAAATATTTCCGGAAATATTGGTCGAAATAAACGGGATAGTTTAAAGGGTATCAATTTCTTTACTATTTTAAATAAACGCGCTTCTTTAAACCCTCGACCATTCACAGTTTAAAGTCATAACAGCTGAAGGTCGCTAAAATTTCCTTGAGTCTCTCTCAGTAAGGTGAACACGAGGGTTAAAAATAAAATAAATTAATTCCAATTGTTTCCGTCTAATAATTAATTAATTAACCTTATTATTTATTAATTAATAAATTGATAGTTCCGCTCAATCTGAGTCTAAAAACAGAAAAGTGCTTCGCGAAGTTCAAAAATCATATCAATTTAGAGGTTAGTATCAAAAATTTAATTTAAAATCAATTTAATATTTATGTAATTATTCCATGCCCTTAAAAATATTGTCGAAATTATTTTCAAAGAAAATACGAAAATTGAAATTTATTTATATTTTTTTAAGTCTAAAAATTCTTATTCGCCTCCAACTTATTTCCGGAAATATTTTGGAGGAAAATCCTGATATAAAAGTTTTCTTACATATTTTTGATTCTAAAAATTCTTCTCCGCCTCCAAATTATTTTCGGAAATATTTTGGAGGAAAATGCTAAAATTAAAATTTATTTACATTTTTTTAGTCTAAAAATTCTTCTCCGCCTCCAAATTATTTCCGGAAATATTTTGGAGGAAAATCCTGAAATAAAAGTTTAATTACATATTTTTGATTCTAAAAATTATTCTCCGCCTCCAAATTTTTTCCGGACATATTTTGGAGGAAAATCCTGAAATAAAAATTTAATTACATATTTTTTATTCTAAAAATTCTTCTCCCCCTCCAAATTATTTCCGGAAATATTTTGGAGGGGAATGCTAAAATTAAAATTTATTAATATGTTTTTTAAGTCTAAAAATTCTTCTCTGCCTCCAGATTATTTCCGGAAATATTTTGGAGGAAAATCCTAAAATAAAATTTAATTTACATATTTTTGATTCTAAAAATTCTTCTCCGCCTCCAAATTATTTTCGGAAATATTTTGGATGAAAATCATGAAATTAAAAGTTTTTTATATGTTTTTGAGTCTAAAAATTATTATCTGCCTCCAAATTATTTCCGAAAATATTTTGGGGGAAAATCCTGAAATAAAATTTTACTTACATATTTTTGAGTCAAAAAATTATACTCCGCCTCCAACTTATTTTCGGAAATATTTTGGAGGGGAATGCTAAAATTAAAATTTATTTATATTTTTTTAAGTCTAAAAATTATTCTTCTCCTCCAAATTATTTTCGGAAATATTTTGGAGGAAAATCCTAAAATAAAATTTTATCTACATATTTTTGATTCTTAATTTTCTTCTCCGCCTCCAAATTATTTCCGGAAATATTTTGGAGGAAAATCCTGAAATAAAAATTTAATTACATATTTTTGATTCTAAAAATTCTTCTTCGCCTCCAAATTATTTCCGGAAATATTTTGGAGGAAAATGGTAAAATTAAAATTTATTTACATTTTTTTAAGTCTAAAAATTATTCTGCGCCTCCAAATTATTATTTGGTGACGTAATTAAGAATTTTTTTTCCTAATTCTTATTTTTAGATATTCATTTGCCGAATTCTTGATAGAAATGCCTCGTGTCCGTACGATGTACGATTCGGATCACTTCAGAAAAAACATTAAGGACCTTCTAAATCTTTTTCATTTTCTGAAAAATAATCCTAATTTGGATCTGGGTAATATATCAGAATTACGGCGACTGAGGTGTGATGGGTTAGGTTACACTGGACACGTGGCGATTGATTCGTTAAACTGCTTGGCAGATTTTGTTCGTGAAAAAGGAGGTATCGAGGTTTTTGTTAATCGCGACCCTTACGAATTGAATATTAAAATTCAAGCTCGTTATGTTGTTCTGCTGTAAGTACAATTTATAGTATGTGCGAGAGTTATCTTTTTATTACTGATTGATAGTGGACTTTTTATTTTATTAGTCTTGACTATTTTTTCGAGTTTTTACTTTTTTCTTGGCATCTTTTTCGATCGATATTGTGTTTCTAACCTAAAAGTGTCATGGATAAAACTGTTCTGGATTTTAATGATAAGGTGTGTCGCGGTTGTGGTGATGATATTAAAAGGGAAGTTGTTCGGTGTGATAAGTGTAATGTACCTTATCACCCTGGTTGCATTAAAACAAAAAGAAAATGTTGCACGAGGGCCCCCTCTCCCAGCTTGTTGGCGCCAATTACGAAGGATGACTTGTCTACTATGATGACCGAACAGCTACGTCAATTTTCGCTACAATTAAAACCTCTCAAAGTCACTCTTAACGATGTCTCTGACCGAGTGGGGAATATCGAAAAAGCCTTGTCCCGTTTGGATGTCCTCGAGGAAGATATGGAAGGTATTAAAAATGATGTCGCGTTACTAAAAAATGATTTTAAGAGTTGTTCGGATACAGTGACGGCGGATTGCTTAAAGGAATTGGATGAGCGAAATTATCGCAAGTCAAATTTATTGTTTTTCAATCTTCCAGAAAATGATGTAGCTTCCAGCAATACAGTTTCCGATTTTGACTCAACTTTTATTACAAAATTTTTAAGTATTCTTTCATTAGAGATTACCCCTAAATTTCGCTCACTAACTCGTCTTGGTAAACTCCAACAGATGTCTCCACGTCCACGACCACTGAGAATATCTTTCGTGGAGGAATCAAGTGTCACAGCCGTGTTGAAAGCATTCAGAATATTCAAACAAACCAACACAGCTTTACCTCAATTCCTGCCAGTGAATCTTTCTCTGTCTTGGGATCAGACTCCCATGCAAATGCGTCGCTACAACGAAACCAAACAGCTGATGCTAGAGAGGGAAAAGAAGGGAGAAGTGGGTCTTCGAATCTCCTATCGTCGCGGGGAGCCGCGCATAATATCTGCGCAGAAACCAGGCAGCTCCTCATCAAACCCGCCCATGAAGAAATAGTCTCGCCGAATAGTGATGTGTGTGTTGAGATCAACGTATCTCGATCCAAGGTTTCAGGCCTCTCTACACATGACACCCCGCCTACCGGCCCACACACCACCTCTACATCAAGTTTACGTGACATTTCTATCTATTATCAGAATGTTAGAGGCCTAAGATCTAAATTAAATTTATTACGCAAATCTTTTCCAACTTTTTCTCATAATATTGTTATTTTTACTGAAACGTGGCTTACCACAGCTTTTAACTCATCAGAATTAGGTCTCATAAATTATAATATTTTTCGTTGTGACAGGTGCAAAGAATCAAGTGACTTTTTACGCGGTGGTGGGGTGCTCATAGCCTGCAATAGAGTATTACACGCCTCTCTTATAGTAACTAATATTTTTTCTGTGGAACACGTTTTCGTCAAATTTAAATTCAATCAAACAACATATATAGTTGGTACAGCTTACATTCCCCCAAATTCTAATTTGGCAATATACTCAACGTTTTGCTCTATAATCGAAAATTTATATACTCTCTACCCAACTGCCATTTTTTGTATTATTGGTGACTTTAACTTGCCTCTCGTCACATGGAGTACTGATCCTCAAAATGGACCATCATGTGTGCCAACACCTGATTCATCTCGCCGCTGTAAGGACATCGCTCACCGCTTATCAAACTCTTTAGATTATCTAAATCTGGTTCAAATAAACTCTTTTTTTAATTTCGCCGGATCTATTTTAGACTTAGTTTTTTATAATTCTTTAAATTATTCTCTTGATAAATCCTTTGATCCTATCCTACCTATTGATCAGTATCATCCGCCTTTAATATTTACAATTCACAAT